GTTCCAAGTTTTGGGTTTTCAGTTAAGTTTTGATCAACCTGTATCCCACGTACTGGGTCTGGCCCAGGGCTTTAGAAATGCATTCTTCCTAGGGCCGGGCGAGGTGGGGCATGCTTGCAATCCCAGCACTCCCGCACTCGGGAGGCGGAGGCAGGAGGATTGCCACCAGTTCGAGGCCAGCCTGAACCATATGACGAGACCTGTCTCAGACACACGGACGGTGCGTTCTTCCTCACCTAGTGTCATGCCTGGCCTGTGTCTCGGCTAATTACTGCCCCCTACCCAGGGACAGCTGGCTCCTCAGCTCAGCCTTGCTCAACATTCTCAGTCCTAACTGAAAGGGCAGGGAGTGCTCTCTTCGCCCCGGGGTTCAGGCTTCCCAGACCCGCCCAACCCTGCAGGCAACAGGGTAGGGGCTGTTGCTAGGCACATTTTGGTGGTTTAAAGATGATGCTCCACTCCACAGCCTGACGCATCAGCGTGCGGGGACTCCGGCCCCCCCTTGCCTAGAGCCGCTCTCCTGTCACGTGGCCTGCGGGGCTGGCCGGCGATTGGCCTCTCCGCGAGACGCCCCGAAGTAGCGCAGCCAGAGGGGCCCGGCCCCGTCACGTGACAAGGGACAGCCGCAGCGGCTCTCCGCAGCCAGCAGCCTGGCGTTTCGGAAATGGGCGTGCCGTTTCCGCGCACTGCTGCAGACCCGGCTGCCGATTGGCCCAGTCGCTCTTCCCTCCGCCCCATTGGGAGGCGGGCAAATCCGGGCCACGTGAGCGTCGGGATTGGCTGGCTCTGGAGACTCCCGCCAGCGGGCTGTACTGTCACGTGGTGTGCTGTTTTCTTATCACGTGGCCTCCACCCAGGTAAGAAGAGGCCGCCCTTCGTGGGCTTGGGGTCCTTTCTGGCCTAGCGTGTGACCTTTGCTTTCACTCCTCCTCTATCAGCGTAGGCTGCATGAGGGGGGCGCTGCCGCCCTCAGCCCTGCTCCGCGGAAGGGTGAGTGCCGGGCCCGCCCCGCCCCTTCCGGTCTTTCTAAACCTGGACCCGCGTTCCAAAACCGAGGCTTGGGCTTCATTTTCCAAGTCTCTACTAGTACAGGGGTATTTTATTTTCGGCTGCAGAAGCGGGAGGACAGCCCGAGGGTCTGGCCGAGCGAAGGCTCCGCGGGGTGCGTTGCCTGAGGTGTTTGTGGACGGAGACGGCATTCGCCCCCTACTCCCAGGCCGCTCTGCTCCTGTCGCTACTTTGGATGCCGGCTCTGCTCCCTGCGGCCTTCCGCCTTCTGTTGCTGCCCAGAGCCCTGCTGTGCATGGCGTCCAGAAGTCCCCCGTCCCTGCCCACCCCGGCCTCGGGCTCAGGCTACGTCCCGGGATCGGTGTCCGCAGCCTTTGTCACTTGTCCCAATGAGAAGGTCGCCAAGGAGATCGCCAGGTGGGGGCCTCGGCGTGGAGCGAGGGTGGCATGGGTCGGGGATGGAGGAGACGAGGGCTGCTTCCTGGGCTCCCGCCTTGCCAAGCCTGGCTCCGGGCTGCTGGCATGGGCCCTGGGCGCTCTGACTAGGGCTGCCCTCCCTCAGGGCCGTGGTGGAGAAGCGCCTGGCAGCCTGCGTGAACCTCATCCCCCAGATCACTTCCATGTAAGTCGAGGGGCTGCCTGGGAGCTTTTCCTCTGGGAGTCTTTGCTTCGCAGCACTTTCCCCCTTTTTCTCTGATCTCAGCTACGAGTGGAAAGGGAAGATCGAGGAAGACAGCGAAGTGCTGATGGTGAGAAACATCCCCTCCTCAAGCCGACCTCATCTCCGAACCCTCAGACCCTGCTGGTCCCGAGATCACTGCTACCTTTGATTCAGCCGTGTTTGTGTTTGCCCCCTAGATGATTAAAACCCAGAGTTCCCTGGTGCCAGCTTTGACAGATTTTGTCCGGTAAGAGCCTGGTGAAGGATGGGCACAGATGCACCGTGGGGACTCGCTTGCCTAGGGGGGCTCCTTTGGGTGTTCGCTTAACTCCTTCTCCCTTTGCAGTTCCGTGCACCCTTACGAAGTGGCGGAGGTGATTGCATTGCCCGTGGAGCAGGGGAACCCCCCGTACCTGCACTGGGTGCACCAGGTCACCCAGTGCCTTTCCCGTCCCAGCACGGATGTGCCATGATCTGAGGGTCAGAAGCGTGGACCCCTCACACACTTCAGTGCCCCGTCTTCCCGTGAAGTCTGAGCCCCAGTAAATCCTGCCTTGGTTCTCTCTGCTTTTTGTCTTTTTTCCTTGTTGCACATGCGTATTTAGTTGGGTCAGATCTCAAATGCTTCTAGTCCTATATCCATCTTTCAAAATGACTCAGCCACTAGGTGTGTTATTTCTAGTTTTTTATTTCAGTCATATAGAATCCGGAATCCCTTATCATCCCCCCTCCTCAGTCTCTGCACCCAGGGGTTAAATAATTTTAAAAAATATTTTAAAAGCTGTAACAAAATAACATCAAAGGAAATGGGAGGAAGGATGAGGGATCAGGAACCAGAAAGGGGGTGGTGAAGAGCCGCGTCCCCATCCCCCCTGGATTCCAGCCTGGCAGTCAGGAGAACACCCCCATCTCCAGGTACATCCCAGCTGCAGGTGAGGTCAAAGGTCAGGGTTCCAAAGTGCCGGCAGGTGTGAGTGGGGAGCCACTGCGCAGGCTGCTCAGAAGATGCCCCCGCCTCCCCACTCCACTAGGTACTGCACAGAGCCGTCAGGCCGGACTCGCCGAGCAAGGACACGAACGGGGTCCCCTCGGGACAGATAGCCAACCCCTCCTCGGACTCCTCCCCCAGTCCCCGGGGACAAACCACGGCACAGGGGGGAAGGGGGGGCTGGGCGTCGAGGAAGGCCTGGGGAGGGGGCTGGGACCAAGGAAGGAGAAGCAGGCATCGAGTGGGGGGCGCTTTTAGGGATGTCTGTGGGGAAGCCGATGTGAAGTTCAAGGGGCGACCTAAGGAGAGAAGGCAGTCAGAGCAGACGGACAGATGCAAACAGACCGACTGGACACGGCTGCAGGGCTATGTGGGGTCAGAGGGATGACTCATGACCCTGGAGGAAAGGAGATGGGAAACTCTCACCTGTCTGGGGGTTCACTGTCCCCAGAGGTCCCCGCGGTGCTGGCAGAGGGGTGGAAGGAAGCGAACATCCGGATGGGGCTGCTAGGGTCAGGAGGAGGAAAGTCAGGACCAGAATGGAGGACACGATGTCCTCCGGGAAGGACAGAGTTCCAGCACCACCCTCAGGGAAACCGCTGTCCCCAGAGCTCAGCACCAGGCATTGTCCTAGAAGTCTCTGAGGGGAGTGAGGGAAGAGAATTCCAGGCAACAAGGTCCGGAGGACATGGGTCACGGAGCACTGACCTGGGCAGACAGCGGGCGTCTGTGGGCCGGAAGTTGTAGCCGCTGCTGCCCTGGTAGCTCTGGTCAGGGCTGGAGGGTGATGGAGACACTGAGGCCTAGGAGACCGGGCAGAAGACTGAGAAGTCACCTCTGGTTCCTCCCCAGGCCCCCACACCCCAACCCCCACCTCTGTACCTGCAGCGCCCTCTGCAGCCGAGCCGGTTCCCTCTGCTGCCCCAACTCGGACTGGTTGTGCACTGCCGAGGGCGGCCCCAGCTCCTCCTTCCCCTTCTGCCTCCTCCTCAGGGGCTCTGGTTCCGGCCTCCGGCGCTTCCCCAGGGGACGTGAGACCCCTCCCCCAGGGCCCTGCCCTGAAGGGAAGCTGTAAGAGGCCTCCTTATCCCCCGTTGTCCCCAGCCCCTCCCGGACGCCCGAGACCTCCCAGAACGGCCGCCCCCCCTGGACCAGTGACCTGGTGGGGGCTCCATCACCATGAGGGTGCTCCACAGGAGGGGGGGCCCGAGCATGGAGGCCAAACAAACATTTCCTCTTCTTAATCTCCCTCCCTGAAATGAAACTGGGCATGGGGGAAAGGGACACAGGGTCAAGGCTGCAGCAGAGAAGGCCAGGCGGGTCTCCGCAGAGCCGGGCAGCAGGTGGGTTTCAGCCCCTGCCCTCCCAGACTTCAAGTCTTGTCTCTGAGTCTCCCGCGTCCTCCCTCCGCTTGATCACTCGCTCGCTCGCTCAGCTCACCGGTCTTTGTGGCTGTTAAGAGCAGAGAGGAGCCTGGAAGAGCGCTCTCCCTTGGGGGTGTCCGAAAGCTGGGGGAGAGAAGGTAATGGGGTCAGAGGGCAGCCCCCCGCGCCCCCTCCCTGGAGCTGGGAGGACTCCCTCCCTACCTCGCCCAGAAGCAGGCTGTCCCAGTTCTCAGAGGTGAAGGGGAGGATCTCACGGTCAAAGTCGAAATACTTCTTCTTACAGCAGACACTGAGGTGATAGAGGACGAGGTGGGCCACGTCCACCCTGGAGGAACATCGTACGTCAAGGCTGTGGAAGCGCTGGTGGAGCCAGGGAGTCCGGGGCAGGCAGCTGGGCCTGGAGGGTGACCCACGCCGCTCACCATCGAAGCTGCAGCCTCCGGACCTTCTCAGGGCCCCCGCGGCACACACAGCATTCGAACTCGTAGAACCTGGGCGTGGGTGGGAAAACACATCTTGTTGGGCAGACCCAATGTGGCATCGGGACTGGCACCAGGCACCCAGGTGGGGACGGAGGCTGGGCAGTCCTGGAGCACCTGCGCAGCTCACCTGTCCCCGTAGAGGAGCGGCTTGCTCAGACACTGCGTGCAGGCCTCGTGGAACCACTGCAGGCAGCTCCGGCACTGCAGCATCTTCAGGTTCCATCTGGGGGGACACCGGCCTCCGTCAGCATCCACCCTCTTCTCCCTCCCTCCCTGGGGTCGGCCGCCTCGCCTCTTGTTACTCACTCCCCAGGGCCACCACAGTAACAGTAGCTCTGCTGCCGGTTGCTCAGGTGCCCAGCGTCCCAGTCCAGCCCCTTCAGTCCGTACGGCAGACACAGCTTCATGCCCAGCATGGCCCGGGCGTAGGGACCCTTCTTCAGCGCACCACCCCTCTGCAGAGAAAGTGGGCGGGAAGCCTCAGGCAGCGGGACAGGCGGAGGGCTCCAGCAGGCCGCAGTGGGCCACAGAAAGGCGCCTTTACCTTGGTGGCGATGGCAAAGACGCACTGGCGGCAGACCCAGGGTGTGCCCTCCGCTTCTCCAGGGGCCGGGGCCCTGGGCACATGGCAGTCCTGGTGATAAGCTGCGCGACAGTGTTAACACAGCACTTATTGCAGGGCCAGAACCGGGGGCTAGAAGTCTCACCCATCCTATTTAACCCAGGCAGCCCACTGGGGCAGGAGCTTCGGCCTGATCTGACAAGGGGGGCTCAGGGGCTAGTCCGAGGCCCTAGGGTTAGGAGAGGGGTGTGTGAGCCACCTGCTGCCTCAAAGCCCACACCGCCTCCCCCTGCGGCTGCTTCTTCCCATGCTGGAAGCCGATGAGGAGACTGCACAAAGTGGTGGCCTGAGCATTAGATCAGCATGGGGGACAGAAGGACCAGTGCCAATGAGGAGGGAGGTGGCACCCCGGGAGGTCCAGGGCAAACTGGACTGCTGAGGCCCCCTGCCCTCACCATGGCGACACTTCTCGCAGCTGACCAGCCGGTTCCCGGGGACCACATTCTCAGATCGACAGACACAGCAGAGCAGCTCCTCCCCGGGAAGGGCAGCTGCAAGGGGACAGGGTGTCAGGAGGCCCTGAGCCCACTGTGCCACCCAGAAGCCTTGGGCTCTAGGGCCTCACCAGGGCTGATGTCTTTCCACAGAACCAGAAACTGTGAATCGTCCTCAAACTGGACCAGACACACCTCGCGGACGCTGTCCACCTGGAAGGGCGAGCACAGGATGCAATGGGAACCAGATGTGAGGAGGCTGGGGAGCCGGTGAGAGCGCAGGTAGGGCTCACCTTCTTGATGGTGCCCAAGTACAGCAGCCCGTCAGTCCACCTGGCCAGGACATCCTGCCCCTCCCAAAGTCGAGGCCTGGGGCCTGAGGTGGGTGCAGAAGAGGGGTCCCAGAGAGAGGAGGCACCGGAGCGGCTCAGCCGGGGGAGCTGCGCCATTGCATCCTGGGGGGGCCTAGCCGGAAGTGAGAGAAGAGATTAGGCAGGCTGAGGAAGCGACCCTATGTTTCTGTCAAGGGCTTAGCATCTGCACATTGCCGGATACTGGGCGGCTGCCCCAGCTCCCTGACTCCCCCTCTTCCAACTCTGCTCCCCACAACCTACTTCTCCAGTTTCCCAGCTTCCAGAGCTCTCGTGGGATAGGAAATCCTGGCCTTGGGATCTCAGGAGGAATGATGGTTGCAGAAGCAAGGGTTACACACAGGTGCTTAGAGCAGCAGGATCGGGGTGTCCTGCTCTCCCGCCCAGAGATGTTTGGGGAGCTTCTCTGGAGTGGTTTCCGGGCTAGAAGTGGCTGGCTCCCAGGGCCTGCACGTCCCCTTCAGATCAGTCCTCCTGGTGCCAGGTTATGCCAGGTCACCCTCAAATCGGGGCTCCCCGCCCCCGGGTAGGCAACTTCCCTGAGTGCCCAGGAGGGGGGCGTGTCCCCGTCCCGGCCTCCACTCCCCCACCACGCAAGTCCGAGGAGGGACCCGGCCGTCGTCGGCCCGGCCCGGC